CATGCATAGGTAGACTGGTAGATATTTGCAGTTCCCCAAATTCAGGTTATACCATAACTCTAAAACATAGAATCCTATTCATCCAATGAACAGTAAACTTAGAAAAGACATGAAATCCAATAATAAATATGAATCATTGAGTGTCACGCCGAGCAGCTCTCACACAACACACCCAAGCTAGTGCTAGTGCTACTTGTGAACAGGGTTGTGCCCATTCTGAGGGCAGAGTAGAGAGGACCAAGGAAGAAAATTTGAAACTAAAGGAAGAGATGGCGAGGATGAAGGAAGAAACGAGACAAGGAAAGCCAGCGTCTGACGAAAACTCAGGCGAATGGAAGGTTGTGAGGAGAGGGACAACCAAACTGGTGGTGTAAAAACACACCAAGGATACGACAACAACAGCTAAGTGTACCAACCCTTTCAGTCCTTTGATAGACGAATTGGTCGTTAGCATAGTCAGGGACAAGGCTGACAAGGAAGGTACGAAAACCTTAATTGTTGTTGATTCCCAGGTAAGGTACGTGGATAGAGCTTTTTGTGGTAAAAATAAAAATAGGATGAGGGTGTGTTTGCCAGGAGCTGAGGTGGGGGATATAGTTGACAGGATGGACAATGTCTTGTCTAATGGGAACAAACCCATTATCTGCCTTAGTGCAGGAGGCAATGATATTTTCCAGTGTAGGAGTGAGGATCTCCTTGATAAGTTCAAGACAGCTATAGAACGTGTTAGGTCGAAGGGAGGGATCCCTATCATATGTGGTGTCCTGCCTAGAAGGATAGTTGGCAATGAATGGCTGTCAAGGGCAGTTGGTGTCAACGGCCAGAAGTTACAATTTCATTTAGGAAAGGAATGGAACCAGTGTTAAACAGAGGTGAACAGTGAACAGTGCTTAAGTCAGTGAGAACAACTCAACAGCAACAGTCGTACCCAAGCTAACCTTCACACAGTGAGGTTCCAAGTACCCAGTGATAATGGCCCGTGAGACCCAACAACAACCAGCGATGTGTTAATCCGTCTACGATAGGAAGGGCTGGGACCACACCTCACTCATATAACACCATCTGTGAGGGAATTACTACAACACGTCAGGTCCCTCATAACACCATCTGTGAGGGAATTACTACACCACGTGAGGCCCCTCAAAACACCATCTGTGAGGGAATTACTACACCACGTGGTCCCTCATAACACCATCTGTGAGGGAATTACTACACCACGTCAGGTCCTTCATAACACCATCTGTGAGGGAACTACTACACCACGTGAGGTCCCTCCTAATACCATCTGTGAGGGAGTTACTACGTGTCTGCTGTTCAACACCTCAGCGCACAAGATCTAAATGACCTCCACTGTTAACATTAATCTGTATGTTCACTGTATGTTCCTTTACCTTTCTCTAATGAAGGCTTTTGTTAAACGACCAATGTATGTAGTAAGTCATTTATGTCCAATGCATATTTTCAGCCTTCGGGCTGCAGAACTTTTTCAATAAACCGTTAATTATTATTATTATTATTATTATTATTATTATTATTATTATTATTATTATTATTATTATTATTATTATTATATTGCAAGTCAATATCAGTCCCATTCATTGACAACTGGGACAACTTCTACGGCAGAAGGGACCTTTATGCTGGGGATGGGGTGCATCTGTCTAGGGATGGGGTAGCAACCCTGGCTGGCTCTCTCGAGAGGACAGTTCAAAAGATGTCGAAGTCTTAAACGGCTAAGAGAACATATGAGCACGGGGGTGGAGGTGACTGCAGTGGGAGCGGGTAAACAAAGTGAAAGGTTACAGGGAAATAGTGCTAGGGATTATGTCAAAACTAAATTAGGCAGGGAGTTAAAACCTAAACACGACAAAGAGAGGACTCAGAACACGGCTAACAAAATAGATGAAATCAGGGCATTGGCATGTACCGAAAAAATCGATATCATAGCATTCACAGAAACATGGATAAACCTAGATTCCCGTGAGTTACCTGTCGAATACCAAATTGCAGGCAACAAAATATTCCATACCGATAGGCAAATTAGGAAAGGAGGCGGAGTAGCAATGTATGTCAGGGATAATCTGAAGTGTGAAATTAATAAGGTAATAAAACCAGAACGGAATACAAAAACAATTTGGATAGAACTAATCGATGGTAGGGAAAAATTAATCACAGGAGTAATATATAGACCTCCTAATCTTGATAGAGTTAATGAGCGACTTATCTGGGATGAAATGCGCAGGGCTTTAATTCATAGCAAAGTCTGTGTAGTAGGCGACTTTAACTTTAGCCAAATAGATTGGATTGACCTTACGGGTAACTAAGAATCAGAGGATTTTCTTGAAACAATCCAGCGATCACAAAAAAATTAGATTCCAGTTAGAATTTCAGGGCAGCAGCAAGGAAAATTCCACTGGAGTCCCAGATTTCAGAAGGGCAAACTTTAATAGTTTGAAGAGGCAGCTGAGAGAAGGGGTATCACTCTTGGGGGTGAACTACATGACTCATGAGGTGACCCTCTCAATGTACTCACAAGAGGGTGACCACCTGTCGAGACCTGATAACGAGATCTGAGGTTGGCGAGTTCCACAACAATTTAAATAATGAGTTACTTAATGCACAAAGGCAGAACATACCATACAGAAAACTCGTATCAAACAACAATGACCCTAAATGGATAAATAATTATTTAAAGAATATTATTGGATAAAAAGGAATATTGAACCGAAGATAGCAAGGAGGCAAAGCAAACCCCAAGGGATTCTATCAAATGTATTAAACTAAAACACGAGAAAAGATTGGACGAATACAGTCAGATACCGGCGAGCTGTTTTGATAATGACGGAGAAATATAATAATCTGAATAAATATTTTTCAAGAGTTTTCACTACCGAAAATTTAAACATAATAATACCTGAGGCACCGACTCTATATACAGAGATAGCGAAGAAAAATAAATTTAGCGAGATAGTAGTGATAGTAACGATGTTAGTAAGCAACAGACAAACCAAAGCCTAATAAGTCACCAGGTCCCGATGAGATATTTGCCAGAGTATTAAAGGAATGTAAGGAAGATTAGTATGCCCCTCAGCAAAGTTGTTTAACTTGTCCCGAAAACGGGTGTAGTACCAAAATCCTGGAGGATAGTGAATGTATACCGATTTTCAAGAAGGAAGTTAAGCATAGCAGATCACTATCCTCTAACTACCGACCAATCAGTCTAACATCAATTGCAGGGGCAAATTACTGGAAGCAATCATTTCAAACCTATTCGAAATCACCCGGAGAAGCAGAAGTTGATCAATGAATCCTAACATGGCTTCACAAGCGGGCGTCTATGTCTAACTAATCTATTAACATTCTTTTCATGTTTTTGAATCAGTGGACGAGGGGCATGACTATGATGTGGTATATCTCGACTTTAGCAAGCTCTTCGACAGAGTCCCCCACGAAAGACTAATAAGAAAAGTGGAGGCTCATGGCGTTAAAGGAGATATTCTATAATGGATTATCGCGTGGTTACAGGACAGGAAACAGCGAGTGAGCATTAACGGCACTAAATCCCATTGGAACAATGTCACTGGTGGAGTTCCCCAAGGCTCAGTACTCGGACCATTATTATTTATTATATACATAAACGACATAGATATCGGAGTAGACAACATAAGTAAATTTGCTGATGACACTAAAAAAGGGCGTGTAATTAAATCTGACGATGACTCCGAAAAACTACAGGAAGATCTAAAAAATTTTCGAATGGTCTGAAAAATGGCAGATAAGGTTCAATGTGGACAAATGTAAAGTACTCAGTATAGGACATGTAAACAGGGAAACCAGATACCAGATGAAGAACGATGTTATTGAGAAATCCGACTGCGAGAAAGGTTTAGGAGTAATGATATGTAGGCATCTTAAGCCAAGTAAACAATGTGTATATGCTCGAAACAAGGCTAATAGAGTTCTTGGGTTCATACAAAGGAGTGTTAGTTAAAAGACTAGCGAGGTCACCTTAAAATTATGTCTTGCGCTTTTGAGACCCCACTTGGATTACACAGTTCAATTCTGGTTACCGTATTACAGAATGGATATAGAATCCTTGGAAAGAATTCAGAGGAGAATGACAAGATTAATCCCGGGCATTAGGAACCTTGAGTACAGAGACAGGTTAAAGCTTCTTAATTTACACTCCTGAGACGTCGAGTGAGGGGCGATATGATCCAGGTATATAAATGGAAGTCAGGGCTGAACAAAGGGGACATTACAAAGGTACTCAAACTATTCAACCAGGAGCAAACTCGTAACAATGGTTTTAAATTAGACAAATTTAGATTTAGGCGCGAAATAGGTAAACATTGGTTTAGAAATACAGTAGTGGACGAGTGGAACAAGTTACCAAATATCATCATTAACTCGAATACGCTGAATAGTTTCAAACATAGGTTGGATGGATATATAAGTGAGAGGGGTGGATGTAAATGGGACTGCCCATTATGGGCCAATAGGCCCGCTGCAGTTTCCTTCATTCTTATGCTCTTATGAACACGACGAGACTGAGTGAGTGACTGTTGACGCGACATATTTCTGCTCTGGGGTGTGGGTGCACTAGCATTCAAATTTAGACGAAAAGATAGTGCAAACTGAGAATACCAGCATATATATTTATTTCAACTATTACTAATATAAATAATATAATGTGTCCTTATACAATACAGTACTGCAAACATTTACTATTTATGCTGCAATGTAATGGACTGCAAATTTTACATTATTATTATTATTATTATTATTATTATTATTATTATTATTATTATAACAAATATTTGCAAGCTCAAGGGCCCGTTGTTAATGTGGCCCTGAGGAAACTGGAGTCCGGGAAACCTGTGATGCTTGGATGACACCTCACTTGTGTCCTGGCCAAGGAGACTCAAGCCCTTGATAATATTAGATTAGTGAGAGATAAGCGCGTTACCACTGTACCACCGACGTAGTTCAATACTCACCCACAGGATAGGCTGATCATAGTAATTCTTGTTATTCCTCGAGTCATTGAGTATATTGGTCCTGATTTTAGAAGCCTTATCAGTCTGCCAGGTATTACAGCCCCCCCCATGTCCCGCCCAACATAGAGACGCCGTGGGAGGGTTGTCCGCATCACGTGGAAACACTGCAGCATTAGAAAAAGGGAGGTGTTATCAGCGCCAACCAGCCACTATCTCTCTCTCATCTCAGAAATTATTTGATATGATAATTTTCACAATTTTGAAGAAAACAGGATCAGTAAGATAGATAAACTCGGTGAAAATGTTCTGAATTGAAAACTGCTCTCAAGGAGTTTCTTTCGTCTTGAATATTCGTTAAGTAGACAATAAGTCTTATCACGAATTAATTCCTACTCTAACCTAATCTTACTTAACCTCGCCTAACCTAACCTTACTTAACCTCGCCTAACCTAACCTATACTTAACCAGAGCTAGTATAGTGGGAGGGAGGGTCAGAGGACATCTGGACAGAGAAGGACCAATCAGCGAACGTCATGCCTACAAACGAGTCGATTATAATTATTATCACACTGGGTTCTCACCTTGCCAGACTGAATCCACTGGTGAACGGCGTCCACCTCTCGCTGTATGATCGGGGAGTCTGTGTCCCTGACGATATAGCGCTCCAAAGTGTCGCCTACCACAGAGAACCGCCAGGCAGTGCCCACTGTATTGCTCACGTCACCCAGACCTACAGTACATCAGAAAAAACCCGTAGCGTAGCGTTGTGTCTTGTGGGACAGTCAGCCGTAAACAAAGTGTCTTATGGGTCAGTCAGTCAGTCAGTCAGTTCACAGTCGGTATATTCTTGGACCTCTCTAAACTTCTAAGGCCTTCGATACTGTCGACCATACCAACCACCTTTCAAAGCTTGAATATTACGGCGTAAGGGGCCTGTCCCACAATTGATTTACCTCAAATCTGGAGAACAGGATGCAGTATGTCTGCTCTAATAATCACCAATCTGACTCCTCGCCAATCTTGTATGGTGTCCCCCAAGGTTCCATTCTCGGTCCAGTATTGTTTTTGTTGTACATAAACGACATAGTCCACGCCAGCACACTCATAAAATACAAGTTATTTGCAGACGATACTAATGTCTATGCCAGCAACTCAGACCTCCATTCCTTGATGAGAACTATGACCTGGGTAATACGTAATAAACTGACCTTAAACTTTGAAAAACCCACTACACGATCTTTTCATAAAGAAAAACTTACCCTTAGACTTGGACCCCTGTACCTTGGTAATGCAGTCCTCAAACGCGAACAAAATACTAAATTCCTCAGAGTTTTTCTTGGTGAGAAACTTAACTGGATAAACCACATACAAGCCATTCACAGTAAAGTCAATAAACAGTGCGGTATCATGTATCACACTCAACAGTCACTCACTCCTACAGCAATGAAAAAAATCTATCATGATCTTGTTTACCAACCCCTGATATACTGTCACACACTATGGGGGGCCTCTGGCTCTGCAAAAACACAATCTCTGGTTACTGCACAAAAGAGAGTTGTACGGACAATGACCTACTTGAAAAGAACAGATCACACAAACGAGAAATTTTCTACATTGAAAATTTTAAAATTCGAAGATATTAAGACCTGCTGCTGTGCCCTCTTTGTTTACAAATCAATCAATCACTTGCTTGACAATAATTATTTCCAGTTCCGGAATAATCAGAGATGCAACTTAAGGCACCCAGAGCTACTAAGACCACCCCCCATGCTCTCCTCTCAGTCCCAAACCTCCATAAAATATCACGGTGAGAAGGTGTGGAACAACTTACCCCCACCCATCCGAGCAAAGACTATGCTCCCTTCCTTTAAATCATCTCTTAAAAAATATCTATTGTCTAAGTATTAATATTTCTTGTAATACCTACTATATTTACAGTACCTGCTTTTATTGTACCACCAAAACCGTTTTACCGGAAATTATCATGTAAATAGATAAGTAATTACCATTGCAATAAACATAATTGCCAACTAGACATAATCCTGACAGCTCTGCCCTCTTGTTCAACATTATTACTGTACATGTTGTACTGCTCCCCCATTATACTTATGTTTTTCAATTCCACTGTAATTTATGTATATACTGGGAATCTTTCGCTAGGCCACGGTAGGACGCCACCCTCCGGGAGGCTCCACATTGTCTCGCTGTAGTGCATTAAGGTAGACCACATTTTTGGTTTTGCCATTAGCAGCAAATATGTACAGATTTTTGCCAGTTCCTACTCTGGAGCATCGAACATAGAACTGTCCATGAGAGAAGCAAGGAAACACCAGGTTTAGGCCAACCATCTTTAGGGACTGTCCCTGGCTTTTGTAGATAGTCATGACAAAGCTCACTTTAACCGGGAACTGAAGTCGCTTGAAGTCAAATGGCAGGTCAGTGGTGATGAGAGGTATCCTTGGTATAAAAACGTTCTCTCCTTTAGCTTTTCCTGTCAGTATTGTAGCTTCCAGTACATGTGGCATCATGTTCTTCACCACCAAACTTGTGCCATTGCAGAGGATTGGTGGTTCAAGATTTCTTAAGAGCATTATAGGAGTTCCAATCTTGAGAGTGAGGGTGGTGAGGAGGCATTCCAGTGGGCTCCAAAGAATTAAGGAATTCTGCAGGGTACTGGACTGCTTGGTCCTGGTCGATTACTGTATCAACAGATTTGAATGAGGTCTCACTGCCTGGAAGCTGTCTGAGTAGAGTCATGTTGATTTCAGCCACTATTTTATTCTTTGGTGCCAGAATTGCGCGTTCACGCAGCCACGTGTGATCCTTGTAGTGGTGGATAATGTTTGGGTAGACCATGTTAGTGAGCTCAGTTGAGGACTTTACAACATTTCCACATCCTTGAGGAATGATTATTTGTCCTTCTGAATCAACAGGGAAAGTTCCATTCCCAATCTGTAGTAGAAGGTTTGCAAACCATCCAGCATCGTGATCTTGTAGATGTACTCTCGTGTGTGTATAGGGTGAGTGTCTGAACACTTCTCCAAAGGTATGATGGCTTGAGGCACGCATTCAGTTCATCAGCTGGAGTGCTTCAAGGAATGACAGGTAGGGTCTGGCGAAAGTCTCCAGCAATGACCATTGTAATGCCACTCATGAGCTGGTCATTTCCTCGTATGTCTTGCAAGGCCCTGTCCAATGCTTCAAACGCTAACGTGTGAGACATAGTGCATTCATCCCAGACTATGAGGCTGCATTTTTCTAAGAGTTTTGCCTTTGCAAATCCTTTTTTGATGTTGCACACTGGATTCTCATTGTGAGCGAGGTTGAGAGGCAGTTTAAAAATTGAGTGTGCAGTACGTCCTCCTTCTAGTAGTGTTGCAGCAATGCCTGAGGATGCCACAGCAAGAGCAATTTTCCCCTGTTCATAAGCATTTGCTTGATCAGGCACCAGGTGAGGCTCATTTTCTTCAAGAAAATTCACCAGAGCTTCAATTGAGTAGTCTGTCTCTCTGAGCAACTCCCTGTTTGCAACTACTGTTCAGTCCCCAAAACTTCTTCTTCCATCAATATTTCATTAACGGTGTATGTAAGTTCCACTACAACGGTACAGCAAAGTATATATTTTAGCATTAAACTATTATTATTTTATTTTCTAATCATCACTACATATAACACCACCCATCATCACTACATATAACACCATCCATCATCATCTACATATAACACCATTCATCATCACTACATATAACATCGTCCATCATCACTACATATAACACCACCATCATCACTACATATAACAACATCCATCATCACTACATATAACATCATCCATCATCACTACATATAGCACCATCCATCATCACTACATATAACAACACCCATCATCACTCCATATAACACCATCCATCACCACTACATATAACACCATCCATCATCACTACATATAACAACACCCAGCATCACTACATATAACATCATCCATCATCACTACATATAATACCATCCATCATCACTACATATAACACCATCCATCATCACTACATATAACACCACCCATCATCACTGCATATAACACCATCCATCATCACTATATATAACACCATCCATCATCACTACATTTAACACCATCAATCATCACTATATATAACACCACCCATCATCACTATATATAACGTCATCCATCATCACTATATATAACATCATCAATCATCATCACTACATATAACACAATCAATATCACTTTACATATAACACCATCCATCATCACTACATATAACATCCATCATCATCACTACGCATACTCTTACCATCCATCATCACTACATATAACACCATCCATCATCATCTACATATAACACTGTCATCATCACCATATAACACCATCCATCATCATCACTACATATAACACAATCATCATCTACATATAACACCATCCATCATCACTACATATAACACCATCCATCATCATCACTACATATAACATCATCCATCATCACTACATATAACTCTATCCATCATCACTACATATAACACCATCCAGCATCACTACATGTAACACCAACCATCATCACTACATATAACATCATGCATCATCACTACATATAACACCATCCATCATCACTACATACAAAACCATCCTATCATCACTACATATAACATCATCCATCATCACTACATATAAAACCATCCTATCATCACTACATATAACATCATCCATCATCACTACATATAACACCATCCATCACTACATATAGAACCATCCTATCATCACTACATATAATATCATCCATCATCACTACATATAACACAATCCAACATCACTACATATAACACCACCCATCATCACTACATATAACATCATCCATCATCACTACATATAACTCTATCCATCATCACTACATATAACACCATCCAGCATCACTGCATATAACACCAACCATCATCACTACATATATCATCATGCATCATCACTATATATAACACCATCCATCATCACTACATATATTACCCTCCTATCATCACTACATATAAAACCATCCATCATTACTACATATAATGCCATCCTTCATCACTACATATAACACCATCCATCATCATTACATATAACACCATCCATTATCACTACATATAACACCATCCATCATCACTACATATTATAACACCATCCATCATCATCACTACATATAACACTATGCATCATCACTACATATAACACGATCCATCATCACTACATATAACATCATCCATCATCACTACATATAACATCATGCATCATCACTACATATAACACCATCCAACATCACTACATATAACACCATCCAACATCACTACATATAACATCATGCATCATCACTATATATAACACCATCCATCATCACTACATATATTACCCTCCTATCATCACTACATATAACACCATCCATCATCACTACATATAACATCATCCATCATCACTACATATAACAACATCCATCATCATCACTACATATAACACCATCCATCATCACTACATATAACACCATCCATCATCATCACTACATATAACACCATCCATCATCATCACTACATATAACACCGTCCATCATCACTACATATAACACCACCCACCATCATCACTACATATAACACCATCCATCATCACTACATATAACAACATCCATCATCACTACATATAACACCACCCATCATCACTACATATAACATCATCCATCATCACTACATATAACACCATCCATCATCATCTACATATAACACCATCCATCATCATCACTACATATAACACCATCCATCATCATCACTACATATAACACCATCCATCATCATCACTACATATAACACCATCCATCATCATCACTACATATAACACCATCCATCATCATCACTACATATAACACCATCCATCATCATCACTACATATAACACCATCCATCATCACTACATATAACATCATCCATCATCACTACATATAACACCATCCATCATCATCACTACATATAACACCATCCATCATCACTACATATAACAACATCCATCATCCTACATATAACATCATCCATCATCACTACATATAACACCATCCATCATCATCACTACATATAACACCATCCATCATCACATATAACACCATCCATCATCACTACATATAACAACATCCATCATCACTACATATAACACCATCCATCATCACTACATATAACATCATCCATCATCACTACATATAACACCATCCATCATCATCACTACATATAACACCACCCATCATCACTACATATAACATCATCCATCATCACTACATATAACACCATCCATCATCATCACTACATATAACACCATCCATCATCACTACATATAACAACATCCATCATCACTACATATAACACCATCCATCATCATCACTACATATAACACCATCCATCATCACTACATATAACAACATCCATCATCACTACATATAACACCATCCATCATCACTACAGATCGGTAAAGTAGGTTCCGAGATTCTCGTGCGGACACACAAACACACATACAGTACTTCTTTGTTTTATATATAGATAAATAAATAAAAAAACAAAACAAAACAAATAAATAAAATTAATAAATATCGAAGTGATAACCGTGGTAAAATTATGAGATGTTCTTATTACCACCATGCTATTGTACTATTCCAGATGATACTAAATGTTACATAATACTTCCTTGAGATAAATGTATAGTATATATCAGGTGCCTCAAAGAGTGCTCAGGTTCTCAACTGGCTCAGCCATGTTAATATATTGTTATTATTATCCACTCTGTATCTGTGTTTTTCTGGCTAAATAAACTGTTACAATTCAATTCAATTCAAAGTGTCTTGTGGGTCGGTCAGCCGTAAACAAAGTGTCTCGGGTCAGTCAGCCGTAAACAAAGTGTCTTTTGGGGTACAGGTAAGTTTACACTGTCTCTGAAATTACTATATCATAAACTTAAAAAAACCCAAATTATGATGACTTCTCAGGCCATTAGTGTGAATGTTGCCGTATCAACTTATTTTCTCCATTGTCCTATCTAATTTTAGTAAATACCGTAATTATATATATATATATATATATATATATATATATATATATATATATATATATATATATATATATATATATATATATATATATATATATATATTTGTTTATTTATTTATTGTTTTTAAAGCTTTCTGATCACACATATTGCATGCTAAGATATTACTCAGTAAAGGGACGAGAATCTTTAACAACAGACATCTGATATTAAAAAAAGTTAATAATCTCGTGTTTTTTTGGTCAAACAGTTCTGGACTCAGTGACGATACATCTACAAGAACGTTTTTTCGACTACTGGATAATTATGAACTGCAACTCTTGCAGAGGAGAAATATCAAAATTTTTCGGCAGCTGTGACATAAGGTAGAGTTATGAGTCAAAACTGTCTAACCTGGTAGATCGTGGACGTCACATATGTCGAGGTGGGGGTGTTTACAGGCGAGGGCACACGCCCAGGACTTCTGTTGCTGCTGCGACAAGTCCAGGTACAACCTCACCACCCAACCCGGGTACACTTCGCTCACTCGTGGCAGCTGCTGCTCCATCCCAAAGGAGTAGTTGCTGGGGAACTTGCCAAACAGCGAGTAACTCACCACCTGAAGGAGGAGGAACCATAAGTTAGATAATGGAAAATTGAAGTTTGACAAAAGTGGGAATTGTGTTCCACTAACGTTGGATGACAAATGGAAATCTAAAGTGTGTGGCGATGACACTACTCACTATATCCTCATTTATAAGTCGTTAAAAGTACTGTACCTTCATTAACCAATTGTAATCAATCATTGAAAAGTGTAAAGTGTCGATGGATGCGAGTATCCTTCATTCCTCCAAAATATTTTGATTGCCAGTGACCTAACTAATTTAAATCTATACTCTTCCGCGAGTCTTCATGCAGTTCCTTTTACGAGTCGCCTGCCAACATCATCGACCCACAGTCAGATTTGACCCACTTACCCAACACATTTTGTCACACGAGTTATTATTGTAAGTGTACTTATTAATCTACACCAAGTATGGCGAAGTGAATAACAGTTATGTATCACGGACTAACCTTCTGGCCAGGGCCTCTCAGCTTGGCCCAGCTGCTGCAGGTAGAAGTTTCAGATATTTTGTTCATCTGGAATGTACAGTTGGTGACCTGAGTTATCTTGCGACAACTGCACAGGTCCATCTTGTTGACCAGAGAGCAGTTGTGGTTGTCCTGAGGGAGGCGGGTCTCCGGCATGGTACTGTTTTGCTGCCGGGGAGCTGCGGAAAACTCCATAACGATGTTATCACTGCCAACTGGGGAGTGACTGATGAGGCAAACATAGAGCGCCATACCAAGCACACACAAGATGAACAAAACAGCCGTTCTCACCCTGTAGCTCTTTGAAGACATCTGTGACGAGAATAATTTGATGTTCAATAATTTGTGTCTGTCTGTGTACACAAACAGTTTTGAAACACCTCTCAACCGCCAGTTACATATGTAAATTACTAAACACCTGTGTAAAATTCGAACTGAACTAATTCACCTAACAGGTGATATATACAGTAGAGAGAGGAGATGAAGCAACGACAGTGTAATGACCACGGTCATACACGTCAGTTAACGTAAAATCAGATGATTCATATTACGCTCAATAGCCCACAAAACATGTAGCTATGCCTTCCTTTGCGTCCCCCCGTCTGAGGAATCCATTTTCTCATCGCTTCAATGGGGCCAATTGCAAGAACAGTCGTTGGGTGTACGACGCCGTTTATGATGACCTTCTTGCCCTGATCTTGTTTCAGGAATACCACCCTTTTGAAGCTCTGCAGAGATCTCGAAGTTTCGATATTTTGAGTACAGTACTAGCTAATAATTCCCACCAGGAAACTTGTTTCGAGACTTCTCCAAAGCTTCGAAAAGTGCAGAGTGCCATGTGTTAAAGGCGATATTGCTGAAAAAGACCAGGGCAAGAAGGTCATCGTAAATGGCGTCGTACACCCCATAACCGTTCTTGCAATTGGCTCAAGACGCCCGAGTCCTCCGTTTTCCCATTTCTCTGACTTCCTGAAACCAACCTCTCTATAAAGTGAATTTGAATATGAGAGAGGACACCATTGTTTTGAGTCAACTTAGAGATGCCTGATTACAGTTAAAGCATACAAGATCCTTTGTGAGTGATGTTGAAAGCTTTAACTGTCTTTATTGTTAGTAACATTGGTTAAGTAAGTGAGTGTTGAGTCTGCCAGTACAAATGACATCCCGTGATATCGTCCGTGGGGATAGCCATGAGTTCCAAGTGCCACTGAAGTTAGATTATTTTGATGCCCAAACATCAGAGAATCGGATGTTTGTAGTTTAGTTAGCGTCAGTTGTCTATTGAAAAGATTCTGTCAAACTCAAAATCTCCAAAACCTAACGGCTCTCTTCAGGAACAATTCCTTGGCTGTGGTTTGTGGTTTCCGAAAAGTTGAGTTGTTAGTACGTATTTAATGTCCATATCACTTTTTTCCTGACAAACTCAATCTCTGATTAGATTATAAAAATAGAGGTAGGAAATTAGCCTGACCAGTAACACTGACGTTCATAGCTAAGTGTACAGCAACCCAAATTGTGTAGAAGGTCTGTTGTTGGTGAGATCAACCTTTCTGGTATGTATGCGTGGGCGGGAACTGCCCCGGGCTCACGTATATACAGATGCACAAGGAAAAGTCACACATTCGTGACTCTTCCTCAACACATCTCCAGGTATGTGAACGATTGTTTCCCGCCGCCATGTTAAGTCAGTTTAACTTAATCGATTTTGTGAATATCAGTATTCATGTATTAACATAGTGAAATAATCATGTGCCAAATAATTAGAGTAAAGTAAGTGTCGTCTGTACCGTTGCCAGACGTATGTTTTGTATAGTTGAAGTTAGGCATTCACACATTCGTCACTCTTCCTCAATGCATCTGCAGGCACTGTTTGTGTTGTCACCACTACCGAGGTGCGGTAGCCACCCATGGGCAAGATGGTTCTTGAAGGATGTCTTTAATATGGCGAGATTAGAATCCGAGGACAAGATTTCTCGGGAAACGCCATGCTGAAACACTGCAACTAGTCTACTCCTCCGGGCACTCCTTGCGAGCCAGCCTCAGCTTGGCTGTCTGTGTAAACAACTCTAGCGATCAGTGGTCTCAGTCTTGTGACTGTTGTCCTGTTCATTGATCTTGGCTATATGTATTGAGCAGTATTGGTATCTATGATTGGGGATTAACTAGCAGACATATAGTTATCCCAGGTTAAGTATTGAACCCATGAATGTTGGTGTTACCAGCGGTACTGTTGATTATATAGGAGTTGAGTCCACCAACCAGGTGTACTACCACTGAATACTAGTTAAAGTGCCATGTTGTTCATTCCGAACTAACAGGATGTGTTTGATACTATCTTAATTTTGGATTTTGTCGATTGTGTTATGTAATCATCTGTATTGACAATGAAGTAATATCATGAGTGTATAATGTTGTCATCAAGAAATTAATATCTACCTTGCTATGTGTAAAGTAAGACCTAAGCGGTCCAGTCTGATCTGAGTGTAATTAATTAACATCTTATTCACTCCATCTGTTACTAAATATTAAATTAGTAAATTGCGTCTCTGTAACTGAGCATATTCGGCACTCGGGCCTTCGTTGTTGAGCGGCAGAAATTGGACTGTGATTGCATAGGATCATCCAGACCGTCTTAGTGATGTGAAAGTGTAAATCGATGTAGGATTTTTAATGCTAGATGCGATTGTATTTTTGAAAACTCATTCTCCACCGAGTTGGAGGTACAACCCAGGTCAAGAGGCATACAAGCACAAAATCATTGCCATATGACAAAACTTTTTTTTTTTTTTTACGGCATTGTTGTCATGGTTGTGATAAAGGCCAACCAGGGAGTGTAGTACTGTGCCTTTAGTTAAATTCGTTCATAGTGTCATCAGTGACAGCGGAAGAGGTTGTAAATACCTTAAAGTGAATACAAATAAACAAGCATGCTGGAAAGGCACCACTGCCAGCTGAAACCAAGTCGTGTTATACAGTAGGTACCACAGAGACTTTAAATTTTATTTTGTTTGTGTGCTTTCTCATGGACTGAAACTGTGCCCACGTTACACAATTCGCAGGGAGATAGTGTACACAGTGATAGCACAGAGAGATATAGTCGTCGATGAGAACAGGGAAAAGAAAGTATAAGGGAATACCTTCCCAAAGAAAGTTTATTTTATTTTTCTGTGTTTCTAAAGGACCGAGTGGGTGTATAAAATCCAGTATTCATAGAGAATTGCAGTGTACATAGAGATAGCACATAGATACTGACAAACGCCGAAGTGAACTGAAAAAACAATAAAAAGAGAAGAAAAAAAGAAGACATCCCTAAAGGCAACAGGGGAGGTTAAATCCAGCAGAGGGGAGCTAAGTACTGTTATATTTCTTAATTTATTTATTTATTTTATTTTTTGTCATTTATGTATTTATTTATTTTATTATTTTTCAAATAGGTGTAGACCTATACACAGTCTACATCCCCCCCCCCCACCCCACAACAACAACAACCATGAGTATGATATGTGACAACTGCGGGGGATGACGGATATGGACGATACAGGCCTGACCAATGCAACGTTTAGGAAGACGCAAACTGCCGTAAAGCATGAAGGCTGTTGCTGGTATTGCCCTGACTGCATAGTCAAGGTGAAAGAGGCGATTGCAAGCCATAAAGGAACGAGTTCCCTAGGGACGAAAATAGATGAAGCTGGAGCCCTGCTGGTTGCCAAACTAGAGCAAGTTGGGAAAGAGATCCTTGCTAAGACTGAGGAAGTAGCCGATAGAATGGAGGTGGTTGCTAAGAGGAGTTATGCTGAGACATTAGCAGGGCCATGGGAGGTGGCGGAGAGTAATGCAGGGTCAGAACAGGTTCTACAGCAGCTAGGGACTCTGAAGAAGTGTGTCGAAGAAATGAAAATTAACGGACCTACTGTTAGGGGAGAGGAGGAACAACGGGAACGTCTCCAGCGCAGGAACAATGTAATAGTTTTTGGAGTCCCCGAGAGCCAGGCGGAGGGAACTGAGAGTAAGGTAACACACAATAAGATGCAGTTTCAGAATATTTGCACAGAGGTTCTGAAGATGAAATAAATCCTACAGGATGTGAGGAGGCTGGGACAAAAGCAAGGGGATAAGCCTCGCCCGAGTCGCCCCCCTAGGATCACACTCGTGAGCGAGGAGGAGAAATGGGGGGATATTCCGCAGGCAAAAACTTAGCAAGGGGCGAGGCAGCTCGGGGTGTATTCATTCACCCAGATCGCACGGTAATGCAGAGGGAACAGCACAAGAAGCTCCTGCAGGACTTGAAGCAGAAGAGGGAGGAGTCAAGGAGGCATTGAAAAGCTTCTTTTCCTCGGTGTTCACAAGAGAGGATGCAATTAACCTTCCTGCGTTTGAGGACAGACGGTTCGACACAGCACTGACCCACATTGCGTTCACAGAAGAGGGTATTAGAAATAAACTGTCCAGGCTAAAGGACCATAAGAGTCCCGGCCCTGACATGGTGCATCCTAGAGTGCTAAGAGAGTTGTGCAACGAGCTTGCCGACCCCTGAAGATCCTGTTTTGTAAATGCCTGGATGAACAAATGGTCCTCAGTGAATGGAAAGTGGCTTATGTGAGTCCTATCTTCAAGAAGGACGATCGTCACTCCACGAACAACTATAGACCGGTGAGCCTGACCAGCATAATATGTAAATTACTTGCGAGTATTATCAGAGATGCCACGATGGAACATCTAATACGAAACAACCTTGTAAAGGATTGCCAACACGGTTTTATGCCGGGGCGCTCCTGCTTAACACAATTGCTCAAGGTATTGGATAATTGGACCCATATTCTGGAACGGGGTGGTAATATCGACAATATTGACCTAGATTTTGCCAAGGCTTTCGACAGTGTACCCCACGAAAGACTGATAATCAAACTGGAAGGGTACGGAAATCGGGGAAATGTCCAAGCATGGATGATTAATGTGGTGATTAATGGCACGAAATCATCATCCGCACCTGTCACAAGCAGGGTACCACAAGGCAGTGTGTTGGGCCCGCTGTGGTTTGTTTGTTTCGTAAATGACATGCCAGACGTTGTACACTCCTCCATACAAATGTTTGCCGATGACGACAAGTTGTTTCGGGAATCAAGAACCAAGCGGACTGTGAAGAGCTGCAGAAGGACCTGTGGGCTCCAAGAATGGTCGAAGAAATGGCTGCTGAAATTCAATGTCACGATGTGTAAGAGGATGCACCTGGGGCGTACCAACGACAGGAAGGCATTTCATATGTCCCAACGCGATGAAGAAACTGCACTATTTGAGACTGAATGTGAGAAGGACCTAGGTGTGTATGTTGAAAATGAGCTGAAGTTCTTGGGCCATTGCAAGAAGAAGGTAAATCAGGCAAATAAATTATTGGGTCTTATAAGAAGTTCTTTCAGATATCTAGACGGTCCGTCCCTCGTAACGATCTTCAAGAGTGAAGAGCTTCCCCATCTGAAGTACTGTAACCCCGTCTGGTCCCCGAGATATGCTAGGGACTGTCAGTTGGATGAAAATGTTCAAAGGAGGGCCACAAGACTGGTGCCAGCACTTCGGCACCTAAGCTACCCTGAGAGATTGGAGCGCCTGAACTTGCCTAGCTTATACTACAGACGGGCAAGGGGGGACCTAATTGAGGTGTATAAGCATCTCAGGGGGCACTACTCAGTCGAGTGTCCTTACTTGGAGCTGGCGGACGCTCGCCCCACAAGGGGTCACAGCTCAAGATTGAAGAAGCTGCAAGTCCAGAAAACTGTGACGGTAATTTTTTTCGGAGTGAGAGTTGTGAATTCTTGGAACAATCTACCAAAAAGTGATGTGACGGCACCGAGTGTGAGCTCTTTGAAGACCAGACTTGACCAACACTGGAGCAGGTTCAGGTACATTCAGGAGCCTGTGCATACACAATACTTGCCAACAGTGCGTAACAGAGACGTGACAGATCGCGCAAGCGGCTAACGAGCCGATTAGTAAAGAGGATAAAAGTAAAGTAAGTAAAAAGTAACTTATTGAAATTAACCTCAACAAATAAAGTACCGGGTATGTTAATTTTTAATTAATACTGGAAATAGAACAGTTACAAAAAATCACATTGAAAATAAAAACCCAATTAAATGCTAAAACTTCAACGAACTGCTCAAATTTCCAATTTATTGTTCTTCTCTGACTGAATGCTTAGCAACTGTATAATTACCTCGGTGCATAATATTTTAGTGCACGCCCAGTGCTGTACACTTCCCGGGAATACTGCAAGTCTTTTACATTTACACTCTGGTGGCTTCATTTCCTTTCACTACATTACTCACCACCACCTCCATTACCATTACATTACTCACCACCACCTCCATTACCATTACATTACTCACCACCACCTCCATTACCATTACATTACTCACCACCACCTCCATTACCATTACATTACTCACCACCACCTCCAGCTATGGCGGTTTTCTTATATAAATCTATATATATATATATATATATAGATATATATATAGATAGATATATATATAGATATACATACATATATATATATATATATATATATATATATATATATATATATATATATATATATATATATATATATATATATATATATATATATATATATATATATATATATATATATATATATAACAAAGAAGTATGTCTGTGTGTTTGTTTGTTTGTGTGTCCGCACGAGAATCTCGGAAACTACTTTACCGATCTGTAGTGATGATGGATGGTGTTATATGTAGTGATGATGGATGATATTATATGTATGAAGCCTCAAGGCATCATACCTTTGGAGAAGTGTTCAGACACTCACCCTATACACACACATGAGAGTACATCTACAAGATCACGATGCTGGACGGTTTGCAAACCTTCTACTACAGATTGGGAATGGAACTTTCCCTGTTGATTCAGAAGGACAAATAATCATTCCTCAAGGATGTGGAAATGTTGTAAAGTCCTCAACTTAGCTCACTAACATGGTCTACCCAAACATTATCCACCACTACAAGGATCACAAGTGGCTGCGTGAACGCGCAATTCTGGCACCAAAGAATGAAACAGTGGCTGAAATCAACATGACTCTACTCAGACAGCTTCCAGGCAGTGAGACCCCATTCAAATCTGTTGATACAGTAATCGACCAGGACCAAGCAGTCCAGTACCCTGCAGAATTCCTTAATTCTTTGGAGCCCACTGGAATGCCTCCTCACCACCTCTCTCTCAAGATTGGAACTCCTATAATGCACTTAAGAAATCTTGAACCACCAATCCTCTGCAATGGCACAAGTTTGGTGGTGAAGAACATGATGCCACATGTACTGGAAGCTACAATACTGACAGGAAAAGCTAAAGGAGAGAACGTTTTTATATCAAGGATACCTCTCATCACCACTGACCTGCCATTTGAGTTCAAGAGACTTCAGTTCCCGGTTAAAGTGAGCTTTGCCATGAGTATCTACAAAAGCCAGGGACAGTCCCTAAAGATGGTTGGCCTAAACCTGGTGTTTCCTTGCTTCTCTCATGGACAGTTCTATGTTGGATGCTCCAGAGTGGGAACTGGCAAAAATCTGTACATACTTGCTGCTAATGGCAAAACCAAAAATGTGGTCTACCTTAATGCACTACAGTGAGACAATGTAGAGCCTCCCGGAGGGTGGCGTCCTACTGTGGCCTAGCGAAAGAGCCGCTCGGAGGGCGGTGATTCCGCTTGTAATGAATATATGAACACACCTAGTTCACAAACATTATAATACCAAATTATGCCACGGCATAACAATATATATATATATATATATATATATATATATATATATATATATATATATATATATATATATATATATATATATATATATATATATATATATATATATATATATATATATATATAAGTGCAACAGATGGTTGAATAAATTCTAATTACTGAAAGAAGTGTTCAGTTCATCAGTCAATGGCAACCTAGTCTTTATTTCCTGGAAAGTTGTCTGATTATCCTACGTTTTGCCCTCTTTTAGTAAAAATTACCCTAGGTCCTACAGGCCAAGAAAATACAGTAGGCTGAATTTACCCTATGCATAAGGTAATTATTCTTTGGTTGGCAACACTGGTTCCTGATAATTTAAAGAGATAAGGTCGGTTGCCAGATACCAAGCTGATTGATTACATCCCGTTCGGGCGATCGTCGGTTTTTGTGTGCGATTTAACGTAAACCAGTCTAATCTAACCTGACGTAATCTAAATCTGATCATTTAACTAAGATGGTAAAAATCGTATAACACAGACGATCGCCCAAGCGGGGTGGCTGACACCTTTTGCTTTAAGTTTTATTCTCTTCGTTACATGTTAATTCTCTAGCTACAGTACAGCAGCCTGAGCGGTTGTTGTCAGTGATGCTTGTCAAGTCCTCATGCAAAGTACGGACTCGTGAATGTATATGAACATGGTCCAGTGTTTGTTAAGCCTGGGTTTAATCGTCAGTAAGGAGATTTGACCCGCCACGTCAACTCGATACAGTTTATTTCGGTCAAACCTGTCAAATACAAATACTAGCGCACAAATGAGTACATTATCTTAATAGTTTTACAATATAATCTGCATATCGTCGTCAGAAGTAACTCATTAATATTTTTCACCAGTATTTCCACTTTAGGGTAAATACCCCACTTAAGGATAATCAGTCCTTTCGGGTTTTGCAAAATCTGGGGTAATCAAGGATTTCATGGAGGTATTTTCTCATATTTCTGGGTAAACGTTGTACTGTATTACTTTGCAGTAGTAAGTAAATGAATGTTAGAGTAATTTGACGTTGGAATGATTCTGTTTCTCATTTTTGTATGAAAATTCCGCTGCTATACAACCTAGGTACGTCTCCCATTAACACTTTTACTTACTTTATCCTCTTCACCACTGATCGGCTTGTTAGCTGCTTGGGCGATCATCACGTCTCGAGACTCTGACTCTCTATCACGCACTGTTGGCAGTACTGTAAGAGCGTCCCCTCCTCAAGAGTTACAGCTGATTGGCTGTTGCAAACCTGTCCGATTTCACGCCTGAAGAAATGTTTAACTAAATTCATAATTACTGTTAAATCGCACGTTTCGGAGAATGCTTTTTACCCACAACAAGTTATACTGAGTCAAATTACGTATCAATGAAACGCACTTTATGCAAGAACTAACATTTTAAAAGATCAGAATCATATTGAAATATTACACGGCCCCTGAAAATTGGTGGATAAGTGTGACAGACTTTGGTCGCTCCAGGGAACAGCCGTCAGCAGAGGAAGGGAAAACTTGATGTTGTTCTCAGTCATATTTCCCGCCTCTGCTGACGGTCGTATAATATTTCAATGTGATTCTGAGTTTTAAAATGTTGTTTTTACATATTGTAGTATTACTGATACGTAATTTTTCTTAGTATGTCTTATTGCGGGTAAAAATAAGTATATGTTAAATGCGTCCTCCGAAAGCGTAAATTTGCTACCAAAGTTTAACAGTTAATTCATGTATAAGTTTCTGATAAACTTCCTACGTGCTTATGTTTAAAATAATAAATATATGTATCTTTATAATAATCTAGATAAGTATCTTTCTCGTCAGAAATGGTCATCCCAACGATTATTAATAAACTCATTTAGAAATACATCATTACTTTAGAACAAAATCGGACAGGTTTGCAACAAATTCAAATTCAAATTCAAAACATTTATCGACAATTACATCAAAAGGAGCTGGTTAGCATGCTAACTAGCCCACCCAAAACTAGTCTTATCAGTTGCTCTTTAACATTCTACTAATCATAAATCAGATATGTATACAACAAATAGATATGCATAAAATCTACAATCTTATGTTAAACTTACAGATTTTCTTCATAATATTCTTAACCGTATTTTTGTTTATTAAATAACACACCATCTCTGTAATATCAGTAATACCTAACCTAACCTAACCTACACCGCCTGGAGGGAAGGGGGAGTATTGTAGTGGATTTCTCCCCTACAAACGCTGTTTGTCGCTGCATAGCCGACCCTGCTAATTCCACAGTGTGTGCCTCTTGGTCTAGGTCAACCAGCGCCGCCCACGGAGCGGGGGTCAACTACTAAGCCACGCCAACCCCCGCTATTTAAGACCTGACCTCGTGGTGATCTCTCTTTTTCTACCTACATCAACCAGCCAGCAACACCTCCTCCTCCGCCTGCCTGGCGGTCCTCGCTCCCGCCGGCGAGCATGGCGACCTACAAGCTGTCCTCCTCTGAGCACCCTCACCAACCAGCTCTCTCTACATCACGCTTGTAACCATGCTGCCTTCCCAGCACCAAGCTGCATTGTACATCCAATACAACATGCATATAGAGAGCACATTGTGAGTTTCCTTTCTCCAACCCATCCTGAGTGTGAACCAAAGAACCCATACCCCACACCATCACACCTAAATTCTGATAAACAGTTACATTCCACAATGTAATGATATAATGTATGAGACTTTACATAGCCACACAGTTTACAAGGACTGCCATCAGTTCCTTTAATATATTGCCAATAATATTTGTATCCTAAGCGTAGCCTCATCACAAATGTATCACACTTAACCGAAGCCTTACCATAAGTAGAACCTGTAGAATTCAAGACTCGAACATAATGTTTCAAACTACTACTACCGTTACCGCCACAGTAAGATAAGCATGAGAGAGAGAGAGAGCAAGAGAGAGAGAGAGAGAGGTTGAGATGTTACCGCTAAGAAAGAAGGAGAGAGAGAGGTTGAGATGTTACCGCCACAGTAAGATAAGCATGAGAGAGAGAGAGAGAGAGAGGTTGAGATGTTACCGCCACAGTAAGGACAAGAGAGAAGAGGATGTTACCGCCAAAGATAAGCATGAGAGAGAGAGAGAGAGAGAGAGGTTGAGATGTTACCGCCACAGTAAGATAAGCATGAGAGAGAGAGAGGTTGAGATGTTACCGCCACAGTAAGAAAGGATAAACATGAGAGAGAGAGAGAGAGGGGTTGAGATGTTACCGCCACAGTAAGATAAACATGAGAGAGAGAGAGAGAGGGTTGAGATGTTACCGCCACAGTAAGATAAACATGAGAGAGAGAGAGAGAGGGGTTGAGATGTTACCGCCACAGGTAAAGGAGAGAGAGAGAGAGAGAGGTGAGATACAAAGATAAACATGAGAGAGAGAGAGAGAGTTGAGAGGGGAAGCCACACAGTAAGATAAACATGAGAGAGAGAGAGAGAGAGTGTGAGATGTTACTGCCACAGTAAGATAAACATGAGAAGAGAGAGAGAGAGAGAGAGAGGTTGAGATGTTACCGCCACAGTAAGATAAACATGAGAGAGAGAGAGAGGTTGAGATGCCACAGTAAGATAAGAAGAAGGAGAGAGAGAGAGAGAGAGGAGGTGAGATGTTACTGCCACAGTAAGATAAGCATGAGAGAGAGAGAGAGAGAGAGAGGTTGAGATGTTACTGCCACAGTAAGATAAGCATGAGAGAGAGAGAGGTTGAGATGCTACGCCACAGCAAGATAAACATGAGAGAGAGAGAGAGAGAGAGGGCTAGATGTTACCGCAGTAAGATAAACATGAGAGAGAGAGAGAGATGAGATTAGCCACGTAAGATAAGCATGAGAGAGAGAGAGAGGTTGAGATGTTACCGCCACAGTAAGATAAGCATGAGAGAGAGAGAGAGAGAGAGAGGTTGAGATGTTACGCCACAGTAAGATAAGCATGAGAGAGAGAGAGGGTTGAGATGCTACCGCCACAGCAAGATAAACATGAGAGAGAGAGAGAGGGGTGTGAGATGTTACCGCCACAGTAAGATAAACATGAGAGAGAGAGAGAGAGAGGGGATGCGAGATGCAGTAAGATAAACATGAGAGAGAGAGAGAGAGAGGTGATGTTACCGCAGTAAGATAAAGAGTGAGATGTACGCCACAGTAAGATAAATGGAGAGAGAGAGAGAGAGGTTGAGATGTTACCGCCACAGTAAGATAAACATGAGAGAGAGAGAGAGAGGTGTGAGATGTTACGCCACAGTAAGATGAGAGAGAGGAGTCATGAGAGAGAGAGAGAGAGTGGAGATGTTACGCCACGTAAGATAAACATGAGAGAGAGAGAGAGGGTTGAGATGTTACCACAGTAAGATAAGCATGAGAGAGAGAGAGAGAGAGGTTGAGATGTTACCGCCACAGTAAGATAAACATGAGAGAGAGAGAGAGGTTGAGATGTTACCGCCACAGTAAGATAAACATGAGAGAGAGAGAGAGAGGTTGAGATGTTACCGCCAGTAAGATAAACATGAGAGAGAGAGAAGGAGATGCACAGTAAGATAAACATGAGAGAGAGAGAGAGAGAGAGGTTGAGATGTTACCGCCAAGTAAGATAAACATGAGAGAGAGAGAGAGAGGTTGAGATGTTACCGCCACAGTAAGATAAACATGAGAGAGAGAGAGAGAGATGAGATGTTACCGCCACAGTAAGATAAACATGAGAGGAGAGAGAGAGGTTGAGATGTTACCGCCACAGTAAGATAAGCATGAGAGAGAGAGAGAGAGAGGTTAGACACGCCACAGTAAGATAAACATGAGAGAGAGAGAGGGGGTTGAGATGTTCGCCACAGTAAGATAATAGAAGAGAGAGAGAGGTTGAGATGTTACCGCCACAGTAAGATAAACATGAGAGAGAGAGAGAGAGAGGTTGAGATGTTACCGCCACAGTAAGATACATGAGAGAGAGAGAGAGAGAGGTTGAGATGTTACTGCCACAGTAAGATAAACATGAGAGAGAGAGAGAGAGAGGTTGAGATGTTACCGCCACAGTAAGATAAACATGAGGAGAGAGAGAGAGAGGTTAGATGCCACGCCACAGTAAGATAAACATGAGAGAGAGAGAGAGAGGTTGAGATGTTACCGCCACAGTAAGATAAGCATGAGAGAGAGAGAGAGAGAGGAGATGTTACTGCCACAGGAAGATAAACATGAGAGAGAGAGAGAGGTTGAGATGTTACCAAAAGATAAACATGAGAGAGAGAGAGGTTGAGATGTTACTACAGTAAGATAAATATGAGAGAGAGAGAGAGAGAGGTTGAGATGTTACTGCCACAGTAAGATAAACATGAGAGAGAGAGAGAGAGTGGATGTTGCATGAAGATGTAAAGAGAGAGAGAGAGAGGTTGAGATGTTACCGCCACAGTAAGATAAACATGAGAGAGAGAGAGAGGGGTACGAGAGATAAAGAGAGAGGGGACAGTAAGATAAATGAGAGAGAGAGAGGTTGAGATGCCCACAGTAAGATAAACATGAGAGAGAGAGAGGTGAGATGTTCCATAATAAGAGAGGAGCACAGTAAGATAAACATGAGAGAGAGAGAGAGGTTGAGATGTTACCGCCACAGTAAGATAAACATGAGAGAGAGAGGTTGAGATGTTACTGCCACAGTAAGATAAACATGAGAGAGAGAGAGAGGTTGAGATGTTACCGCCACAGTAAGATAAACATGAGAGAGAGAGAGAGAGGTTGAGATGTTACCGCCACAGTAAGATAAACATGAGAGAGAGAGAGAGGTTGAGATGTTACCGCCACAGTAAGATAAACATGAGAGAGAGAGAGAGGTGAGATTAACAGTAAAGAGAGAGAGAGAGAGAGGTGAGATGTTACCGCCACAGTAAGATAAACATGAGAGAGAGAGAGAGAGTTGAGATGTTACCGCCACAGTAAGATAAGCATGAGAGAGAGAGAGAGGAGGTTGAGATGTTGCCGCCACAGTAAGATAAACATGAGAGAGAGAGAGGGAGGAGAGAGAGAGAGAGGTTGAGATGTTACCGCCACAGTAAGATAAAATGAGAGAGAGAGAGAGAGAGGTTGAGATGTTACCGCCACAGTAAGATAAGCATGAGAGAGAGAGAGAGAGGTTGAGATGTTACCGCCACAGTAAGATAAACATGAGAGAGAGAGAGAGAGGTTGAGA